CAGGACATGAGCCTCCTCCCTCTCAAGGTGATTTAGTGGTAGTTGTACTCTTACAGCAGATTAAATCCCAGCGTTGAGCCAAGCTGGTCCTCTGAGACCAGTACCAGAAAGAAAAGTACAAGAGACTCAGCACAACCTGTGGAGCACCTGCAAAAGCTGCACGTGCTGAAACAAAATCCATTTCAATTTTTCAAAATCAGGAAGGAAGCAACATAGATCCATCCCTGCAGATATGTTGATCCCTGGAAACTCTCCATATTTACAAAATTCCCAAGGACAGATCCAGGCCATCCAGTTCCCTTTTCCAAGAGAACTCTATTTGCATTGCTGAGAGCCGGAGACCTAAACCAGGACATGTCTGACCCAAAATTTGCACTTCTTGTTCCCACAACTGGAATACCAGGGTTTCTGGGTCTGCAGCAAATCATCCGTAATCACAAACTGAAACCTTCTCAGTGATCTTTATTTGTATGGGCAAGCCCTATAAGAAATTAGGCCAGCTCCACTATGTGCAGTCATGATCTAACAAATAACTAAATGCATATATTTGAAAAAAGTACCAAGCATTATCCTCTGCTGACCATTCAGTGGCTTATTTAACATGCTCACAGTATCACAGCTTACTTGCCAAACAGACACCCCATCTCCTTAATTTCTTCAGAAATTGTTCCCCAGACCCCCTCGAATAAGCCACAGGAGGTCAGGTTGAAACACAAGCCCGGGCAGGGTCAGGAAGCCCACACTGCTGCTCCAACATCACAGGAATGAAAGACTCCAACACTTAAGACCATCTAGCCAACACCTTTCCCAAGTGTTAAGTTTACATGGAGGATTAACCATCCTAGAAGGGAATAAGGCACAAGGAAAGTGAAAAGAAGAAAGTACATCCCTCTTTTATTTGTTTTCCAGGGGCCAACCCTGGGAGCTGTTTTGTTACCTGCCATAGCTGACCGCGGCACAGACCCCTCTAGCAGGAGGGCAGCTCTCATTCTGCTAGGGAGCTGATGCTGGCTACAGTGGTTGCATGAGAACTCTGGACTCAGATTATGGTGGTTATTACAAGCACGTACGAGCATGTCAGCCCTCCTTGAAGATTAGGAAGGATAAGAGGACAAAGTTCTTTGACAGTATGAGCAAGGAGGCAGTGAAAGGCAATCCAAGTCAAAGCAACTTCCCTGCAGAGATTTCAGAGCTGGCCAGGGAATGGAAACAGCTGGATGAGTTTAAGTGTTTTCTTCCTTACTCTGATCTTGCAAGGCATGGAGCACCCTTCAACCTCCCTAAAGGAGTGTCTAGCTCCCCCCATCCCACCGGCTGTCATCCCAAACCAAGAAGATTTATGTCTGCATCTCACAGGCCTGGACCTCATTTTTGCTCCGAGTATATATTCCTTTTAGTTTGTTCCATACTCTGTAATAATTACATCAACTGGCAAAGAAACTCAAATATTTAAAATACAGTTAAGCTGCGGCTGCAGTGGTTCTTAGCTCTCCAGGAGTGAATGACCAGGGGAAACAGAGAGATGCATGGTTACTGCTTTGTCTTGGACATTCAACACATTGGTGTAGGTCACAGGGACTGGAGTTAGACTGACTTGGATCAATAGCCTCCCGTCAGTTAAATCATTGCCAGCAAAGCTTGATATGTACATTTCCAAAGGAAATAGTAAGCCATGGAATAAATTCAAATTTAATTTAATTTCTCTCCTTCAAAGATGTTCTTATAAAGTCCAGTTTAATGAAAATAACGTTAATGAACAGCTCTTCCTCCACTCTAGAATTGCAAAGCAAGCACATACACCCCATACATTAGACTCCACAACTCTAACTCTATTTTCCCCTTACCTTACAGAAAGGGAAAGAGAAGTGCAGGAAGGGCTAAGTAACGGGTTCAAAACAGTAAATCTGTGGTGCAGATTTACCTCCATTCAGCAAAGCATTAAACCAGATGCTTGAAAGTAAGCATACACCTACCCATTTTTGCTGAATCAGGATCAAAATTAAAATCTGCTTTCTTTTTCCATTCTTTCGACCACCAGATACTTCTGCCATCAATTAAATGTTGTTCCTGCTCAAATAAAGCGAATTCAAAGTGCAAGTAATAACCAAAGCATTTGGGAAAAATGCCCCAGTGTATCAAGTGTTATCATCTACATAGTTATCACAGGTAGTTTCCAAACTAAAGAAAAAACATTCTCCAAGCACGCTTATTACATTTTAATATATATATTAATATATATAGAAAAGTCTGAAAAACTATAAATAAAGCCCTGTCTATATCAGAAGATTACACCGATTTAACCAATTTCAGACCTTATCTTCTATACTGTCACACTTCAATGAAGGAATTTCCTGTTAATTCTGGATACAACAGATTAAAGCAAAACCTGTTCAAACTGTCTGGGGAATAGACTGCATGTAAATTTGTACCAGAAAGATCATTTTATATCTCACCTTTATTCTACCACTAACCACATATGTGCAATTCTAACTGCAGAAAATAAAGTATCCTATATTAGATCGTTTGTAAAATGCTATTATAACATTATTACCTGTGTAAATAGTTTCCAGATACAAATTTTCAGCAAAATGTGCATTCATGCAAACCTAATCTGAGTTGTATCAGTGTATCAGTGTTGTATATGTTAGTTACCCTTTAAACAAAAAGCAAAGCCTTCAAAATCAAGATCTGTACTGATTTAACTAGACTGTTCAGTTAAATCACTGCATTTTTTTCTTTTTAAGTAGATAGAGTCTAATATTAGGAACAAGGGGTTGTGCCTCTTTTCAGTGACACATCATATGATCCCATATATAAACTCAGTGAGCATCTTGAAAGCTGTAATTTATTTGGAGTTCCTACTCTGTCTGGCATCTCACCATGCAGAAAGCTGTGACTCTTTTTCTCTAAATTTCCAGTCTAAATTTATTCATGGCGAGCTCATGTCCATTTGTTCATGTGCCAGCTTGTCCCTTAAAGCTCAGGATGCCAAACCTGAGGCCAGAGTCTGACAGTATGGTTCTGCTGGCAGCATTACCAGGGTAATAAAGACCTCTCTCCCACCCCATGGGCTCATCCCAGCCCTGTGCTGCAGGACACTGCTCTTTACAGTTGCAGTCCCATGATAATATAAGCGTTTAAAAAGATGATATGAGGACTTGAAAAGATTCAAAATTAAACTTACAAAAAGAAAAGAATGCGTTTATTTAACTGCCTGAACTGGTTCACGTGGGAATCAGAAGTGCGGCAGAGCAGGGCAAGAATGTACTGCTGGAGGGGGGGTTGAGCCACCTCCACCTGAGTTCACTTTGCATGGAAACGCACCAACACTTCAAGAAAAGTTGTATTCCTGGAAGATTTTTTGATTGTGGATCCATTCCCTGACCGATTTCACAGCTCACTGCCACAGGTTGAGGGCACAGCTACTCAGAGGGTGAACATCAGCTTCTTGGGCAGGAACTACTTACAGCCATATTGCTGCCAAAGCCCCTGTGTTATCAGGGCAAAGTCTGAAGTGCGAGAACACAGTAGTAAAAAAAAAAAAAAAAAAGTAATTTAAATCTAAGTTTTAAAAAATTAGTAAGAAAGCATTAATTTGAAAGATGCTGCTGTGTAAAATTACCTGCTTTGGAACAGATGAGTTTTCCAGTTATAGCAATTAGTATTTGCTGCTTTGTAAATCCTTCTCTGAGCAGAAAGAAAAAAGAACTGAAAAAGTAAGTAAAATTGCTAGTGCACTTTTATTCCTTTTCAATAACTTTGAATTTGACTCAGTTTTCAAAGCATATTATATGGATATTTTAACTGCCAAAGCTATCCAAAAGCTTTCCAAAAAAAGCTATGCTTTTTTCCTGCTTCTCTCCTCAACATGAACTGTAATGTGACATTTTTGCTACAGTAGTACAGACACTAGAATAGCACCCATCTTCTCCTCCCACATCTCTGCTTGCCCAGCAGGACTAACAAAAGTCAAAACTTGCTTTACACCAACACAGCCAGTTCAAGTTGTCACCAGATGGGCTTTCCACCCATCATGAGGTTTTCTGAGCACAACCTGCACTCCACTGGTGGGGACTTTATCCTCCAAAGAGCTCAGCCCACACCTAGGCTACAAAACAAGGAAACAGATTTCAGAGGTGCCTGTGGAAAACTGCACTTTTCCTTTCCTGCTTTTGACATGAAGCATGTTGTAACCACCAGAGGCATAACTCCAAGGGGTTAAATTATCTGGGAAGTGTAGGTGATTATCTAACACCTCATCTACTCAGAAAGTAGTGTACAAACCCATGAATGATGGACACCTGAGAATTTGGCCTTAAACTGTTCTGAGAGCCCAGTTGGAAGTATCCACATTTTGCAGCCCTTCAAATACAGCTTTAAAAGTCACCGTTCCCACAGCAGGTGCAGCTGGGCTGGATAAGGGTACCCGACTCAGATTATTATAATTCTGCAAATTTCAGAAAGGCATTTGGATATTTTGACTTCTAATGCCAGCCAGTTTTTCAATCCAATTTGCTACCAAGAGCTGAGGGAGGGCAGGATTACTTCTTTTGATGCAATGTGGGTTGATGTCATATTTGACTGATAACACACTTACAGTGTCACATGGCATGAGATTGTCACCAGGTCTCAGAATCACACCTGAAGAAGGAAACAACTACTGAGTGATTCTCATTCCTGGTGAAAATTCAGGTATGTATATGATTATGTGCCAATTTATCAGAAGGAAGAGTGTTTTCCTTATTAAAGGTCCTCAGAAACAACCAAATCTTGACAGATGGAGGCTAAAATCCTCTCCTGTGGATAAACTTTACTCTGAGCACAAAGTGGACATCAGGTCAGATCCCCTGCAGGGACAGCCTGCCTCCCCTTTCCCAGTCACACTGAGGTTGCATCAAACCTTTATGTTAATGGTACTCTCTGGCCATATAATGCGCGGCACTTAATTGCACAGCACTGACATTTCCAGCGAGGAGCACGTACAGAGCCGACGATTTGGCATGAACAGTCGTCGCCACGGTGACTTCGTCTGGAGCTCTGCTGATCTGGGCAAGGTGGGGATGTGACCCTGTGTCTGGTGACTACAGCAAGGGCTCAGGTCAGGACCTTGTCTTCCCAGCACTGCTGCTGATTTGCTTATCCATCTTGTTTTGGTTATAACTAACTGAGACTCTAAAATTCATTTTTTTCATCTGCCAGGGGGAGGTAAATTTGTTTTAGGACCTGTATCGTGATCTTGCCTGTGGATGCTGTGATATGTTACAGGCTCTAATGCATTTAAAGATCCTTCAGTGAAAACATGTAAATACAGTTGTTACTAAGTCCATGTTTACAGTAATACCTCAGGCAGAACTTACCAAACACAAAAGAACAGTCTATAGGAGACAGCTTTTTTCAAAAAAAGAAATTTGTTTATTCTTCCCTTGAAGCTAAAGGGAAACCATGTACCCAGTGGGTTAAGTTCTTCCAACTGGCACTCACACAGAGAAAATTAAAATGATCTATTTTGTACTACCATCCAAAAGGGCATTTACACTACCGGAGATTTCTTCCCCATTATCTTGAACGCATTTATTCTCTCTGACAGTATGTTACTGAACATGTTGACAAGACAGTACCGGGGAATTTCTGGAGGGGGAACAGCTGTACATATGGAATGGAATCTTGGCTTTTTTGGACAAAGTTCTTGCAGAAAAAAAAAAAAAAAAAGTGTTTGTCCTGCAAAAATCAGTGTATTTGTGGAGAAGGTAAGGATTGCTCATCTTGGAGTTGCGGGAAGCATGCTGTGTTGCATGGAGGGGTTACATGTGTGGTGTCTTCCCCACTTGCTTGCAGGTACGAACCACAGAAAGCTGGTGCATGAGGATATATGCAACCATCCCTGCAGTGAGCAAGGTGTAGGAGGAGAGAAGAAACTGCCTGAGCCTCTATATTGCAGGGAAAGCAAGAAAACCTATTAAGGATTTATGCTGTTCCAGCAAAATGACTTCCTCACTTGAAGCAGAAGCCAGTTTTTTCATTGTCTTTACTTTACTCATGCTGACAGCATGCAGTTCTTTGGTCAAGCCCAGTGACGGTTTTGTACTGAGAAATTCATCACTAGGAAACAGGCTGTGAAGCCTCCTAGCTTCTATTCCTGCTCTCGGTCACAATTTCAGTTGCCTCTGAGATGTATTTCCAAGACTTTGCATGAACAGTCCTCATATTGCTGAACACTCATAGTGTGAAAGCAGTTATTTATTACATGAATGGATTTAAAAATATAGTGACATGCACATTCAAAAATATGTTCTAGAGAAGGCATGCATGGGAGATGTCTGAGAAGACATTTGTGCACGGTATGTAATAATTCTAATATGTTTTCATTTACACAGTATTTCCTCCACACACAAGGGAATATAACAAAATGTAACTAAACCCACATATCCTTACAAATAAAGGGAGAGAGGGTGTTTCATACAAAGGTTAAACAAAAAAATCTGTTTAATGTCACTTTGGGGATTAGAGGAACTGGAGTAAAACAAACATCCAACACAAACTTTGAGGGGTTGCTTCAGGAAAAGCACGTGTGTGAGTGTGTGCCATCACATCTGCATATTCAATATGTCTTGCTGGGACAGCTCAGGGAAAATAGGAAGCTGGAAATTTTCAGTGTGGGAATTAGATGGAAGAATGTGAACCATTCTAAACAAAACACAGTGAAGTTGCCAGCTGACTTGCTAAAATGCCAGTGCTCTCTAGGATCCCTTGAAATGGAGCTGAGGACTGGCCTTGCTGTTCAGGCAGCGGGTAGGGAGCCAGGAGATCTGGGCTGTATTCCTGGCCCTGCAACAAACCCAGCATGTGACGCTGGAAAGTCATTCAGCCCTAAGTTTCCAAAAACTGATTTCATGCCTATACTTCTGGGCACCTAGTGAGAGACAGCGTGTGCCCAAACATCCAGGATTTCAAACAAGTTAAGCAGCAGGTACTAACTTCCCATCTGTGAAGAAGATACATTTTGGAGCTCAGTTTCATCACAGAGGCAATGGGACTAAAACCCTGCGAAGCAACCTGAAATGCTACAAAGCTGCAGGTATTACATCATTACATAGACCTCTCATTTTGCCAAATGAGAGGTGCTATGGATATGCAAAGGAGTATTATTTAGTTGCCTGTTGTTTCCCATGTCCTGGCAGCCATTGCCATTCTATAAATATTTTCACAGGTTTCGATACCTCTGATACATTTCAATACATTGTGTTTGCTGCTTCAGGGCATTAAAGAATAGTCTTCTTACCAATGGATTCACTGTTCCAAAAGGAACATAAAGAATACAGACTGGGATTGCTGGCAAAAAGTGTGGAACAACAACACCGACAAGACTAGGAAAATACTCGATCTCAGAGGTGAAATAGTGGAAAGAGGCTTTTCCACATAGTTTAGTCAGCATGTATGCTGGGAGGAAAAAAGGAGTAAAAGCAGTATTTCTATCTTATGTTTTCTTATGCACACACATTAAAAAAAAAAAAAAATTTGGAACCATTTGGATTAAATAAATTTGTGTTCTCATTGTACATGACAGGGTCTGGTCACATAGAATACTGATGTACATTATACTGTAGGCAAAGGATTACTGTTTTTTTTTTTTTTTTTTCTGAATGGTGTAGAAACAAGTTGAAAGAACTAGTGTAAAGCACAGATCTTGTTTTACCCATTTATACTTCCACCTCCAACATGATGAACTCTGTACTGTCTTCCTACCCTGTTTGCGTCTGCCCTTAATTTTATCCCCACATTTTCAGAGAGGATTTTCAAGATTTTTGCCAAGCACAGGTATATAACAAGTGTTGGTGAGTTTAGCAGTCTGAATGAGGTTTTAGAGTGTCCACATGTGCCCAAGAACAGAAATAAGAACAAAAGCAGTTTCTGAAAGGTACCTCCTTTTGCCTCCACTTCTCTTTGCATCCATTGGAGTTGCAGCAGATAATGTTCAGAAAATCTGGGTATTTAGCACCAACTGTTTTTGAGGTTACTTTTAAGAACAAGATGTTAAAGTAACCCTTCTTTGGCCAGAACCAACGCAAATCCTCCATTAAATACAAAATCGTAATTTTTATCTTTATCCTGCCTTCTATGTAAAACTGTACTTTGTAACTGTCACCTGCAGCTTGTGCTGGGCCCTAACTGTGACTGATTTTCACAGCATGTTTTCAAAACAGTACCACCCTATTTTTCAGTTTTCCTCCAAGAACTTACTTCGGAGCCGAAGCTCGTAGGGCAGGTGACATAACTTTGCTCAATTCTAGTGAGCTGCCAATTTTAGAATGCTATTTACTACCTGAAAATGTGCTGGTGGCCACAGTCCAGAGAGGGAGGAATTAATAAAGTAACACTGCAGTAATCCATGGGTACAAAAATCCTGTGTTTTAAAAACCACACAGCTACATCTGTACATTCCCTGGGCTAAGCTTACCTTCTTGTGAGGTTACCTCTAACTCTTGTTATAGCAATAATATATGAATTACCTGTCCCCAGAGCTCAATCCTGGGGCTCCTGGCAAGGTTCAGCTGAAGGACAAGTGCAGGTACTGTTGCCTCTTCTTCCTTGGAGCTTCTGACACAGAGGACAGCAAGAAGCTTCCCTGATAGCCAAATAACCCTAACTTGCAAGCAGGCCAGCATTGCTACATCTGCCCCGACTGCGTGGAAACCTTCAGTAGAGGGGAGGCTGCACCCGCTCTTCTCCAACCACAGCCAAAGGCGAAGAACATCTCCTCCGTCCCAGGCTGAATATGCTGGCTGTCAGCAGAGCTACATGCACAAAAGTGTCCTGATGTCTCTACTGAGTTTTGGACTAAACAGCTAAACAACTAAAACAGAGGAAGATTTCACAAACCTGCTGCTGTAACAGGTACCACACAGCATGTTGGACACACATGTTACTGCTGTGACTGCAGGGACTGCCCCTTTTAGATCGAGCTGTACAAGTCTCAGAGTTCAATCCCCAGGAATGGCTTATGAAAGCAATTACTACCTGAAAGGTCTCTTTGTTTTTGTGCCACTGCTTTTAATAATAATGTTTACATCAGGCATTTTCTGCCATCTCGATCTTCTTTGGTACTGCTAATAAATAAATGACAAACCCCAACACTTAAAATAGCACCTAATGCAATGAACTGCAAGCGCTGAGGTTTGAGATTTTACATCCTGCCCTCCCAGTACACTCTCCCTTTGGTGATTTTAACCATTGAGTACTGAGCTTCATATAAGCCACAAAGGGTGTCACATGCATGGTGGAGCCAGAGAATCGCCTGTGGCCAGAGGCCAAGGTCCCTGGCTCTAATCACCAGACAGTCCTGTCCCACAAGAGCGGACGAGACATACATAATATGTACACAGCATCAAGTGCAGTTGCCTGGACCATAATATAAGTGATCCTTTAATTTGTGTTTGGTTCAATCTATTACAGCAGCAACAGTCGCTGGCCAATTTAATGGCAAAACTGGGAATATAATCCAGACCTCCCATGCTTCACATCCTCTGACCATTCCTCCTTTTATCAACGTAGTTATGTTCTTGTCAGCTATTGACTGACAAATAAAACAAAACCTGAAGAAAATACCCAAATCCCAAAGGCTCAGATTTAGAGCTAGAGCCTGCACTGAGACAGCAGCTCTGAATTTCACCCAGCACCTAACCGCATCTTCACAGTATGCTGTATTTTGAATAAGCCACCCTCAACACCAGGAAACACACAACAGATCAGAATTACTTTGTGCGGGAGGAACCACATAATCCTAAAATACAGTCTCATGTAGCACCTATTAGAGACATGATACTGGCAAAGTACAGGAAAACCACCAGTTTTTAAGGGAAGTTCCATAGTGACCAAAGCTTCACAACAAAGCTCTGCATGCAGGAGGATCCTAATGTTACAATTCCCAAATAACCCACTGATTAATTACATTTTCTTTATAATCTCTGGTGAAAAAAAAGGATCATGACCAGCATGAATCCCAAAGGGAATCCTATCACTTAACAGCCCTATCCTGATTTGTGTATGTGTATTCTTCCTACACATCAGTGTTTAACTCTTAATAGAGACCTTTGTCATGTAATTACTGGTTGCATTCACAGCAGAGTTCTAGGGGATCATTTTTGCTTCATGTTCAAGAAAGGAAAGGAACCTTTAAAACACCTCAACACAGCTTCTCTGGCACCTTGCTAAGAACAGAAAAGCTCTACAGTAGACGTCAGGAGTCCACTCAGCATGAAACGCTGATGAGCACTAAGTTCTCTCCATGACAAGCTGGCACTCTCATTTTGCTGAGCCATGCCAGAAGATGATGGCTTAAGTGTCAGCAATGCAAAAAGACCATTCTGGTCTCATTTATACACAAAAAACATTCCCCAAACTGGCTTTTAAGAAGTCCCACTAAACCAACTTTAAACCCAGTTTAAGACCAGGCTTAGCTGACTTTTTATGGACACACTTCAAATCTGATGAAGGAGATCTGGAAGCCAATTTGTGAAGGACAACTGCAGCCCTCTGGAGCATGACTGACATTAGAATTTTAATCAGTCCCAAACCAGCATTAGTCAGTTGCATTTTTTGGAGGGGAGAAATTTCCCCACTGTAACTTAGATTGTGGTGAAACTCTTTAAACTGAAAAGTAATGTAGTGGTGGGCTGGACAAAAGGACTGAAAACCCAACATTAGCCAGTCACAGGAAATTAGCTAACAGACTGTATCAGGCTACACCCCAAACACTACCAGCCTGCAGCCTCTGCAACAGACGAGGCAGGCTGAGGCCATCCATGCCTTGTTTTTTCTGAGGGTGGGAAGTAAAACACCACCATTTAAAATGAAAGCCTACTCCTCCAGTGCTGTCTGCATGAACAAGGACCTCACTGGGCTCCTACCTGCCTAACAGCCCTTTGATCATTGTAGCTGTACCGAGAGGAGCACATGAATCGGAGCTGCCTGTTTTCTCTGCTCCCTCGGATGAAGCTGCCTCTCGTCCCTCAAGCCCTGGGATGTAGGACAGTGCAGTCAGGTGGGGCAACGGGAGCAATTAGCGACCGCAGGGCATGGGAGAAGGCCGTTCCTCAAGGAGCCAGTTCAGGGAAAGGAGCACGATTAGCTAGGCAAGGCAGAGAAATCTGTTACTTTATGAATTAATTTAAGGTTAAATAGGTCAAAAGAGAGAGAGTGAAGCGTTAGTGGACCACAGGCTTTATTGTTCAAGAGGTTTCGTGTCATTTCTATCCTGCAGTCCCAGGGGCCACTGCCCACAAGTAAGAAAAAGCCAAAGGCCAAGCAGGTTCCTGTGAGTAAATTCACAAGTTTAATGCAGAAAGCACAGGAGCAGCGTGGCAGAAGAAAAGGAAGGGTAAGGAAGGACTCTCTATTTGTTATCTCTTAAATGATTAATTGGAGCCAAAAGTTACCCTGCAAATTGAGAAGCAAAAGAAACAAGTAGGGATAGACTGAGATGGGAGATGCAGAAAGACCTGGTGGACGTTATGCCCAATCATGGAATAAAAGATCCTGGATAGACAATGGTGCAGCTTTATCAGCATGAATTACTTCTAATTGCAGAAGCCACAAGTGAGTTATGTGGATCCTCCTGAACCCCTGCCAAGCAAAGCTCTCCAGCCTCCACTGAACACCAGTGTAAATGTGGAAAAAAAAGAACGAAACATTTATCTGGCAAGTGCCTTCAAAAAGAGAAAGTGGCTGTTGGGAGCTGCTCAAGGGGCTGGAATGCTGGAGATGGTTCCAGGGGGATGGATCAGCCATCAGGGTGCATATGAGGCAGGCAGGGATTTTTAATAAAATGCAGTTTATTGCACACTGATTACCACCTCCCATTTATACCATATGACATCATGAAAAACATGGCACATTATTTCCTTACTCCTGGAAACACAGAATCAACTCAACAACCATGTGATAAACTGGCCCTTTTCATGCACTTTTACTTTGTCTTTCTAAACTTCTATTTCCAAACATCTGTCACCTAGATAAAGTGAGCAATAAACTACTGGAAAAATACTTTCTGTGCCCCCCCCCCCAACCAACACCACAGTAGATTAGGATTATGAGTCCAAATTCCAGGGCTGTTCCATTTAACGTGTAAATCTTAATTGTTCACAAGGAAGCGCAGACTCTTGAATTATGTAACGTGAGAAATGGAACTTCAGGGTCTCCAGAAAATGCATCATCTATTTCTAACCTTTGCTGGTTACACACAAAAGGTGTTACAGACACAACATGCTAAGACATAAATAAAAAAGTATTTCAGGTAAGCTTTTATGCCTTGGAGAGCACACCTCTTCCCGCTCCCCCTTAAACGTGGCTTGAAGTAAAAGGCTTAGAGAGAGGAAATACCACATTATTTCCATGGTAAGATTCTGCAGTCAAATTTGGGATAATACAGTAAAAGACTTCATTAGCACTCTTTCAGAATGACTTGTATAACTTGCTTGTAGTTTTGCCAGTTATGAGTAATGCAACAACCACTAAGATACACCAACACCACCTTTGTACCACATTTCCTTCTCATGTTGCCGGATGTCTACTGGACTCAGCCTTCTCATAAGTGATCCCACTGTCTTCAGCCAAGCAATCCTTGCCGAGGCAGGCCCACGCGGCCCACGAGACACCACACCTTTCACCTGCTCCTCACTTCACGGAAATTCTGCTTTTTGGTTGCAATGCTCTACAACTGGTCTGAGTCTGCAGTGCAGCTGTTCAGCAAAATCTATTCCCCCTAATAATTTTCCTATTAACCTAATGGTTAACCACCCCTCCCCCTGACAGCGCAAAGTAATAATGCTACAAAGATAAGTGGTGACACTGGGTAACTGGGTAACATCCTGGTAGTGTCTGAGTGGGGCTGCGGCTCCACAGTCACTAAAACCAGGTCTACACATTGTTGGATCACCCAGGAGTACAAATTTGGTCGGGATCAGGCCAAGGCACATGATCACACTTCTGCTGAATGAGCCAGAGCACACGATACGGAGCCAATGCCAATTTTATGCTGGCTATATGCCAGCCGCAGGGGTGCAGACGATACCTGATCTGGCTGGAGCTGTGTACAGTGATACCTGATCCAGCATAAAGTCTGCTAGTAAAAAGTTAACCTGTCAAAAACTTCTTGAATTAACTTGAGCAGGCAGAGCGAATGAATACCAGGTCAGCACTTCACATCATGCAGCCATCCCAGTTTTGAGCCAGTAATAGGACTTGTACTGCTGGCTTTTCTGAGTTGCCAAACCACAGCCGATAGTGATGCTTATATGCATGGGGATCTCATTGCAGAATCAGAGCCTCAGAGTCCTTCAACTTGTCTTGCCTCCAACTTAAAGAAAAAAGCAGAATGAAATGCAGACATTGAACCTCTAGGCAGTCAGAGTCCAATATAGAATCTGTATGTGAAGATGGAGCCACGAGCATTTCTGCAGCAGATAAATTTAGATGATGATTAAAATAGCGCCTATTCCTTCAGGTTAGTGAAAGGCTCAGTACAGCAAACACGCCAGTAACTAGGCTGATTTTTGTCATATTTTAGTAATCCAAACAGTATTAAAAATGCACCCTGTTGTGTTGAACAAATGTGAACTTTATATTTTTCTTTACAGCTCCTTGGCACAGAAGGACAGTCCTGCTCTTTTGAAACTGTTTTGAAAAGCCTTACCTGATCTCTGGTAGAACTTAACCCATTTTTAACACTGGTACAATACTGCCCAGTGTTGAAACATCCACAGTTACCATTACACGAGGCTACAGACATGTAAGAAACGTGGATTTCAAACATTCTTCCTTGCAATTGCTGGAAGACATTAGAAATTGCTTAGTGAGCCCTTCAACTATTTTCAGAGGTAGTTCAAGGAGACCATTATCTGAAAGCCACTTTCAGTTTTTCCATTTCCCATCACAGAGGCCCTAAAACAATCCACCTAGAAGTCTAAGCAACCTTGACAGTTACCCAAGTCTCCGACCTATTTGTAGCCACACTCCTATCGCTCCTGCATGGATGCCTAGACAGGCCGCTCCCAAATTTTGGTCCTCAGGGCCATCAGAGCGACGCAAGGCAGATCCCCGCAGATGGCCACAGCCCACTCTCCAAAGGCCAGTGGCGAGGCAGGCCCGGCTGTGCCCTTGCCGCCCTGGGCAACAGCGATTCTCGTCCTCCGTGCTTGCTTTTTCTCAGAATGGGGCTTGGTGAGCGTTTTCGGCCGAAAACG